CAAAAATAACACGTAAATACGTTTCTTATTTTAAGCTATAATTCGGGAAATACCCGAGATCAAAGAATAATAATTCTGATTTCAGAACAACTTGGACACATTCCTAATATAGTTTATTCAGTTAGTTATTTACCGGTGGACGACAATTGCTTTGATGTCCGCCATTTTCATTTTTGTTCTTCAGGGATTTGCTAAAACCTGCAAACGACCATTAAATGTATATATAAAGCAACAGTAAAGAATTGAAATAATATTACCACGCTGTAAGTTTAATTTATAAATTAAATTGAGAGTACCGGTACACCCACAATTTGACAGTCATTATGAATTTCATGGCTTTGTTTGTTCAATGATGTGTAACACTAATACCCTATAACGGCACGTGGATTTGCTAATCATGCCCTGCAGGTATTAAACCAACACAGGTGTAAAACCTTTGTGTGTACACAGTGTAAATCCTTTTATCTGTCAGACAATTAAATTCGTTAGAAGCCAATCTTTGTATAGCGGTAATTCAGTGTACTTCTTGTGTACGAAGAAGCTTTTAATAAACCTTATAATATCAGATAAAATTATATTTCTGTCTTAAATCATATTTCTGTAACCTGTATTTATTACTAATTCTTTGCTTGTAAAACTCCATATCAATAAAATTAATTCTTTATCATCCGCATGTATATTTCCATAATTGCTTGTAAAAGTTCAAACTATCTTTCAAAACGATCTTTTAAAACCCAAATTTATAACTCATTTGCTGCCTGTAAAACCTCTAATCTTGTTCAATAAAAAGAAAATAAAATAAGACTGTCACAATAAAAAAAATTAATACTACATATGTATTTCAATTTATCAATCTACTAATTAATGGTAAAACACTACACTTGTGATCTTGAAAAAATTTCCGTATTTTATATTTTGATACGGTTGCGGTTTTACTTTTAGTAAACGGTAGCGACTTCCTAACTTCACAAGATGGCTACCGCATGATGGCAATGGATAACACGTTGAGGAATTATTAACTTGATGAAGCACAGTTTTTTCCTTTGTCATCAACGGATATTTAATGGAATTTATTTTGTAAGAAAGCTATAGAATAAATATATTATTGTTTACCTAGGCATTAATTTTTCTGCGTAAAATAATGAAAAAAGTTACAAAAGTAGCACAGATTTGCTCTGAAATTTACGTAAATTTTATTGATTTTGGGGCATTTTTCGTAAAATTGAGCCTTAGAAAGGTCGAATTCGTATATTGGGCGACCCCAGCGGTTCTGAGAAAAAAGTATCGACCTATAACCCGAAAATTACGGTACTTGTAAAATCCTGGGCAACAAGAAAAATTCAGCACAGTGTGAAGCAGTCATATTTAACCTTCAACCTTGCCTAAGGCTTAATGCACAAATAGTGACTTACCCAGACAATGCACATCCATCCTTTTTTTAAAAACATGTTTAAAATTTGCAATTTTTCAAAATACAGAATAGTCACATACTTGCGACTTTTTGTCTACTTATTTTTTTGTGTATGAAAATCTGCATATAAATAGCTTTTTCAAGGTTTTCCGAATAGATTGATAACCACATTGCTACTTTAAGCTATTTAGCTAAATCAAGAGACTATAATAATAATGGACCTGTTCATAAGTTTGCTTAGCCTTAGATCAGAATGAATGGCAGTAACATATGAAGCAAAAAACGAGATACAAAGAACCACACCCATCCTTTCTTTTGGCCTTGTATACATGACCATATGTCCCTCTTCCAACTTTACATCCTTCAAAGTCAAATAAATCTTCAACTTTTTGTCTTTCGGCAGCTTTTTGTCTTTTGAAGTCATAATCCATTCTGCATTTTTCTAGTCAATTTGGTAATGAAAACGCTTTACCCTCTAACATAATTTCACATTGATACGAAGCGTTTCAAAGATTAAATTCCTAATTATTTTATAAATTTTAAAACCGGTCCCGGGTATAGGTTTTGTTCCGGAAAAAAACCCTGCGAGGTAAGTTCACAGTCTGCATGTTTGTTATTTGCCTCTTTTTGAAATGTTTCAAGAAATGCCAGTACGAATGCTGATCTTTATGCATAATGATATTGAGATCACAAAGATTTTCCATGATCTCTCTGTAGTAAGTTGCTTTACTCTTGCAGAGTGTGTGATCATTTTTAATCCGTATTATCATGATTATGTTACTCATTCACTATGCAAAATAAGCAGCAAAATATACGATGCGCCGTTATGGTGTTTATCAAAAAAAAAAAAAAAAAAAAAAATGCAGTGAACGTGAAGCTGAAACGGTGGATGTGAAGATGTTATTGGTCAAATTGATAATTAATATATGTTTCTCATATTCTTTATAAACTATCAAGAAGGGCGATCAAGACGTGTAGAATACCTATAGCTTCAGGTATTTAAGAATTTTATTCGATTTGTGAATTAAGTATTTAAAGTAAAATTCTCATTATTGGATTTTATGAAATTGTGATAAAACCACTGAAAAAATTCTCGGAAAAAAGATTCTTTTATTAAAAAATTACATTTGGTATTCGAACCTTAATGCCATTAAAATCTGGAGTATCATGTTGCTTTGAGACTAACACGCCAATACTCTTCAAGTATTTTTCGGAAAGATGCGAATATTTTGTCATAAAAGTATGTTTTTATTAAAAGTATAGAGAGCCTTTGACCCATGTTTTTTTTTCAAAAAAAAAAAAAAAAAAAAAAAAAAAAATGTGCATTTTTTTTCGATTAAACTTAATTTTAGGAATACATGTACTTGAGGAATGAAGTTTATTTCAACTAATGTTATCCGATATAACATAACTTGGGCAGTTTACGCTTTATAAACCGCGAAGCGGTTTATAAAAAAGCGTAAACTGCCCCAAGTTATGTTATATCGGATAACATAAGTTGAAATAAGCTTTATTCCTTATAATTTAATTTCAATGTAGACAATGAGACAATTTTTCCATTTTTTCCTTCGGAAAAAGTCTTCAAATATCGCATATTTTAAAAGTTAACGTCAAGCGGAGTAATCCGTTTGTTGACGTAACTCATTGTGACGTAGGCAAGTTATGTTATACAAAATGGATAAAATCATTTATCCAATCAATTGACGTGTTACTACTAAAATTAAATTATTTAAGGAATGACTCTAATTCTTGGCCAGATTATCGAGTATAATATGGTTTGGGTCACTTTACGCTTTATAGTATTTAAAGTAAAATTCTCATTATTGGATTTTATGAAATTGTGATAAAACCACTGAAAAAATTCTCGGAAAAGAGATTCTTTTATTAAAAAATTACATTTGGTATTCGAACCTTAATGCCATTAAAATCTGAAGTATCATATTGCTTTGAGACTAACACGCCAATACTCTTCAAGTATTTTTCGGAAAGATGCGAATATTTTGTCATAAAAGTATGTTTTTATTAAAAGTATAGAGAGCCTTTGACCCATGTTTTTTTTTCCAAAAAAAAAAAAAAAAAAAAAAATAAAAATGTGCATTTTTTTCGATTAAACTTAATTTTAGGAATACATGTACTTGAGGAATGAAGTTTATTTCAACTAATGTTATCCGATATAACATAACTTGGGCAGTTTACGCTTTATAAACCGCGAAGCGGTTTATAAAAAAGCGTAAACTGCCCCAAGTTATGTTATATCGGATAACATAAGTTGAAATAAGCTTTATTCCTTATAATTTAATTTCAATGTAGACAATGAGACAATTTTTCCATTTTTTCCTTCGGAAAAAGTCTTCAAATATCGCATATTTTAAAAGTTAACGTCAAGCGGAGTAATCCGTTTGTTGACGTAACTCATTGTGACGTAGGCAAGTTATGTTATACAAAATGGATAAAATCATTTATCCAATCAATTGGCGTGTTACTACTAAAATTAAATTATTTAAGGAATGACTCTAATTCTTGGCCAGATTATCGAGTATAATATGGTTTGGGTCAGTTTACGCTTTATAGTATTTAAAGTAAAATTCTCATTATTGGATTTTATGAAATTGTGATAAAACCACTGAAAAAATTCTCGGAAAAAAGATTCTTTTATTAAAAAATTACATTTGGTATTCGAACCTTAATGCCATTAAAATCTGAAGTATCATATTGCTTTGAGACTAACACGCCAATACTCTTCAAGTATTTTTCGGAAAGATGCGAATATTTTGTCATAAAAGTATGTTTTTATTAAAAGTATAGAGAGCCTTTGACCCATGTTTTTTTTTCCAAAAAAAAAAAAAAAAAAAAAAAAAAAAATGTGCATTTTTTTCGATTAAACTTAATTTTAGGAATACATGTACTTGAGGAATGAAGTTTCCCATACCAAAAAAAGTTATAACTTAGTTATAACTTTTGTAACTAAAAAAAGTTACAAAAAAGTTATAACTAAGTTATCGGAGTTTGGAATGGCATGTTTTAAGTGAGGTATAATTTAGTTATAACTTAGTTACAAAAAAGTTATAACTTTTTCATAACTTTTCACCTTTTATTGAACATAAATACAGCAAGTACATAAAAGTTATAAAAAAGTTATAACTACAAAAAGTTATACTTATTAAAAGTTACACAAAAAGTTATAAAATAGTTACAAAGTTATACTTTAGTTATACCCAAATAAACAGTGGAAAAGTTACAAAAAAGTTATACCCAAAAAAAGTTATGAAAAAGTTACAAAAAAGTTATACCCAGGAAAAGTTATAACTAAAAAAAGTTATACCTATTATAAAGTTATGAAAAAGTTACAAAAAAGTTATACCCCAAGAAAGTTATGAAAAAGTTATAGAAAAGTTATACCTAAAAAAAGTTATAACTGCAAAAAGTTATAACTATAAAAAGTTATACCTATTAATAAAAACTTTCGTAAAAGTTCCAGTGAAATTATACACTGTTAACCTGTTGCGGATTTACTCAGTTATAAGCTTTTAAAAAGCTACTCATTAAAATTAAAAAAAATAAAAAGGTTTTTGAAATTTAAACAAAAAAGATTATTTAAAACATATTAAAGGCAATAACAATTTTACCTAACAAACACGATAAAGATAGCTTGGTTTATTGTCAAATACAACTAAATGAATGCACATGCAATTGTTTTAAAAATTCAAGTGTACCTTATTTTACATCATGTCATCTACAACAGATTGAAATTTCTCTGGTTGTTTTAAAGAATACATTTTTAGCATATAGCAATTAGGGTCTTTGTAAAATTACCTAGCAAACTGCATTCTACTCTTGCTAATTGTATAAACAGGCATCACTAATTTTTAAATATTAACACCCTATTTATTTTTGATCTAGCTGTATTTCAAAAAAAAAAGAAAGTTTCTATAAACAGTGATTTCAGTCACAGTTTCTAGCTGCATACCACCCTCCTTGCACAGGTATCCTTGCAGGTGTACAGTTGTTTATCTTTATTATTTGAAGATAAGCTGCACTGAAAGTTGGCTGAGTTAGCTGACAGACTTAGCCATCGTTTGACAGGCCGCACTGGTAGTAGACCAAGTTAGTTGAAGGACTTGGCCATCGTTTGACAGGCCGCACTGGTAGTATACCAAGTTAGCTGACAGACTTAGCCATCGTTTGACAGGCCACACTGGTAGTAGGCCAAGTTAGTTGAAGGACTTGGCCATCGTTTGACAGGCCGCACTGGTAGTTGGTCAAGATAGTTGACGGACTTGGCCATCCCTTGACAGGTCGCATCTGTAGTTGGTCAAGTTAGTTGACGGACTTAAACGTCCCTTGACAAGCCGCACTGGTAGACGGCCAAGTTAGTCAATGGTCTTAACCGTCCCTATATTGACAGGCCGTACTGGTAGTAAGCCGAGACGAACTTGGCCATCTCTTGACATGCGGCACTGGTAGTAGGTTAAGTTAGTTGACGGACTTGACCATCCCTTGAAAAGCAGCTCTGATAGTAAGCCAATCTAGTTGATGGACTTAGTTGTTCAATGACAGGCCGCACTGGTAATAGGCCAAGTTAGTTGAAGGACTTGACAGGCTGCACTGGTAGTCAGCCGAGCTAGTTGATGGACTTGGTCATCCCTTGACAGGCCGCACTGGGTCAGCCGAGCTGGCCGAGGGACTTGGCTGGTGGACTGCATCCCTCATTTTAGCTGGTCAGACGTCTTGGCTGGTGGGCAGTGTGACTGGTAGTCGGCTAAGTTTTCGTTGAAATATGCTTGCAATTTTAACCTTTTCTTCAATTCTGCAAAAAATTGTAAAGGTTCAAAATTTAGATTAAAGATATTTAGATAGTATTTTTCCAGCACTCATTTGCACATCAAATTGAAAACACTCTTCCATATCAATTAATTCAAATTCATTAATTCATCCAAAACATGGAAAATACAAGACTAATTTAAGATTTATACTTACAGGAATCAGTTTTAGATTGAAAGATTTATTGAATTTTGAAATGAAAAAAAATTTACTTTACCTTAAACAAGTAATATTGTGAAGAATTTCATGTACTCCAGGGCAGGACAGATTCAGCTCATGGAAACATCATGTACCAATATTCTGCTTTATAAAAAAAAAAAAGAAAATTAATGTTAAATTACTCATTTCATTGCATTATTTAACATTGCAGCTATAGATCATGTTATGATCATGCTGATGCGTATAAGGCTTCACAATATTTTAACAGTTCAGGGAATCTATAAACAATTGTGGGAATAAATATGACAAAGAACATATTTGATTAATATACTAAATGCTGAAAAATATTATGCGTTTCAAATACTTTCAATTTGTTTACTTCAGTCTTTGTCATTCGACATACCAATCAAAACAAACAAGAAATCTAAGATTCACACGCCTAGAATTGTGTTCATTCCCAATATTTCTTCTTTTTGGAATGTTATTCCAGAGGTACTAAGTCTACTTTACCAAAATCAATAAAATGTTAGCATAAATATCGCCTTACCAACTGGTTTTATCTCCTTTTTTTCTATCAACACTTTCAACATCCAAACATTCAAATCGTCCATGGAAAAATCCGCGCTCTGTTATTGACCAATCATAGAACTCAAAAACGTCACGTGATCGAAAAAAATAAATAAATAATTCATTATTAATTTATTTTAAATGCAAATAAACCTAATTGTGTAATTTCAACCTTAAATTAAAAATATAAATACCAGTTGGTGTTAAAATTTTGAATTTATCTTAGTATCAACAAAACGGACATCGGAGGCCGGCGGCCGCCATATTTGCCGCCATTTTGAATTTAATATTTGTTTATTTGTGAAAATAACTATTATAACTGTGTTATTTAATTATGCAAACAATAAAATCTACATGTACTAGTCATCTGCTTAAATCTTAATATAAGTGGCAGTCTTTATTCACAACATCGTAATATCTGTTCAACATGAACATGCACATACTCTATGCTGCTGTTTATCTTTTTAGCCACCCATATTACGACTGATTTTCTGCAGATTTCAAACAACCTGTGTAGAATTTACCATTCAGAGATTGTGTAATACCCAAGCTGAAAAATTTACGATGTGTTGGCCACAAAGGTCACCTAGTACAAACACCTGTCTCACAGAAAACAATAGGGAAATTTACACTGTTTTGCACACGAAGACTTCATGAGATTACATTTCATACTGTTTATATCTCTTGCAGTACATTTATATTTCCCAAAATTATGAAATATATTCATTCCCAACTTCAGATGTAAGTGCATTATTATAATTTACAAGACAAATATTATGTCTCATCAGGGTCTCAATAAATACGTATTTTCTAAGAGAGAGAGAGAGAGAAGGAGAGAGAGAGAAATTAATTATTCTCAACTTTAGTTGAAACTTACATGACAAATATCAATTTAAATAGACAATAATATTTATTACACACACATGACATGTACTGTGTACACACCCTCAAACACCACAGAGAGAGAGAGAGAGAGAGAGAGAGAGAGAGAGAGAGAGAGAGAGAGAGAGAGAGAGAGTTTCTCATTTATAGATGTAATTCACAAGATTTTATTTCACATCCCTTCTGTTGAACTTGACATGGCTGTGGACAGCATATTTACCGGTATTATGAATGAGAAGTCGATCACTGGTAGTAAACAATATTATTGTTCAGGAATTGACAAAGTTTTCTGCTGCAGTGTTTGAAAAAAAAAAAAAACACATTTTGAACACGATCAAAATTCATTCAAATTAACACTTAGTTTATATGTTATTTTTGAAAAAAAAAAAGTTGGTGTCAAGTAGTATCCATTAAATAACCCCCAAAACTTGTAAATTTATACTGGTAATGCTTGAAAATGGCTAAGTTCAGAAAAGTTATGTTTTAGTTATACATGAAAATGACAAAGTCCAGAAAAGTTATGTTTTAGTTATACATGAAAATGGCTAAGTCCAAAAAGTTACATTTTAGTTATACATGAAAATGACAAAGTCCAGAAAAGTTATATTTTAGTTACACATGAAAATGGCTAAGTCCAAAAAGTTACATTTTAGTTATACATGAAAATGACAAAGTCCAAAAAAGTTACATTTTAGTTATAACTTTTTTGTACCTCACAGGCTAGGTATAACTAAGTTATACTTTAGTTATAACTTAGTTATAACTTTTTTCGGTATGGGTTATTTCAACTAATGTTATCCGATATAACATAACTTGGGCAGTTTACGCTTTATAAACCGCGAAGCGGTTTATAAAAAAGCGTAAACTGCCCCAAGTTATGTTATATCGGATAACATAAGTTGAAATAAGCTTTATTCCTTATAATTTAATTTCAATGTAGACAATGAGACAATTTTTCCATTTTTTCCTTCGGAAAAAGTCTTCAAATATCGCATATTTTAAAAGTTAACGTCAAGCGGAGTAATCCGTTTGTTGACGTAACTCATTGTGACGTAGGCAAGTTATGTTATACAAAATGGATAAAATCGTTTATCCAATCAATTGACGTGTTACTACTAAAATTAAATTATTTAAGGAATGACTCTAATTCTTGGCCAGATTATCGAGTATAATATGGTTTGGGTCACTTTACGCTTTATAGTATTTAAAGTAAAATTCTCATTATTGGATTTTATGAAATTGTGATAAAACCACTGAAAAAATTCTCGGAAAAAAGATTCTTTTATTAAAAAATTACATTTGGTATTCGAACCTTAATGCCATTAAAATCTGAAGTATCATATTGCTTTGAGACTAACACGCCAATACTCTTCAAGTATTTTCGGAAAGATGCGAATATTTTGTCATAAAAGTATGTTTTTATTAAAAGTATAGAGAGCCTTTGACCCATGTTTTTTTTTCCAAAAAAAAAAAAAAAAAAAAAAAAAAAAATAAAAATGTGCATTTTTTTCGATTAAACTTAATTTTAGGAATACATGTACTTGAGGAATGAAGTTTATTTCAACTAATGTTATCCGATATAACATAACTTGGGCAGTTTACGCTTTATAAACCGCTTCGCGGTTTATAAAAAAGCGTAAACTGCCCCAAGTTATGTTATATCGGATAACATAAGTTGAAATAAGCTTTATTCCTTATAATTTAATTTCAATGTAGACAATGAGACAATTTTTCCATTTTTTCCTTCGGAAAAAGTCTTCAAATATCGCATATTTTAAAAGTTAACGTCAAGCGGAGTAATCCGTTTGTTGACGTAACTCATTGTGACGTAGGCAAGTTATGTTATACAAAATGGATAAAATCATTTATCCAATCAATTGGCGTGTTACTACTAAAATTAAATTATTTAAGGAATGACTCTAATTCTTGGCCAGATTATCGAGTATAATATGGTTTGGGTCAGTTTACGCTTTATAGTATTTAAAGTAAAATTCTCATTATTGGATTTTATGAAATTGTGATAAAACCACTGAAAAAATTCTCGGAAAAAAGATTCTTTTATTAAAAAATTACATTTGGTATTCGAACCTTAATGCCATTAAAATCTGAAGTATCATATTGCTTTGAGACTAACACGCCAATACTCTTCAAGTATTTTTCGGAAAGATGCGAATATTTTGTCATAAAAGTATGTTTTTATTAAAAGTATAGAGAGCCTTTGACCCATGTTTTTTTTTCCAAAAAAAAAAAAAAAAAAAAAAAAAATGTGCATTTTTTTCGATTAAACTTAATTTTAGGAATACATGTACTTGAGGAATGAAGTTTATTTCAACTAATGTTATCCGATATAACATAACTTGGGCAGTTTACGCTTTATAAACCGCGAAGCGGTTTATAAAAAAGCGTAAACTGCCCCAAGTTATGTTATATCGGATAACATAAGTTGAAATAAGCTTTATTCCTTATAATTTAATTTCAATGTAGACAATGAGACAATTTTTCCATTTTTTCCTTCGGAAAAAGTCTTCAAATATCGCATATTTTAAAAGTTAACGTCAAGCGGAGTAATCCGTTTGTTGACGTAACTCATTGTAACGTAGGCAAGTTATGTTATACAAAATGGATAAAATCGTTTATCCAATCAATTGACGTGTTACTACTAAAATTAAATTATTTAAGGAATGACTCTAATTCTTGGCCAGATTATCGAGTATAATATGGTTTGGGTCACTTTACGCTTTATAGTATTTAAAGTAAAATTCTCATTATTGGATTTTATGAAATTGTGATAAAACCACTGAAAAAATTCTCGGAAAAAAGATTCTTTTATTAAAAAATTACATTTGGTATTCGAACCTTAATGCCATTAAAATCTGAAGTATCATATTGCTTTGAGACTAACACGCCAATACTCTTCAAGTATTTTCGGAAAGATGCGAATATTTTGTCATAAAAGTATGTTTTTATTAAAAGTATAGAGAGCCTTTGACCCATGTTTTTTTTTCCAAAAAAAAAAAAAAAAAAAAAAAAAAAAATAAAAATGTGCATTTTTTTCGATTAAACTTAATTTTAGGAATACATGTACTTGAGGAATGAAGTTTATTTCAACTAATGTTATCCGATATAACATAACTTGGGCAGTTTACGCTTTATAAACCGCTTCGCGGTTTATAAAAAAGCGTAAACTGCCCCAAGTTATGTTATATCGGATAACATAAGTTGAAATAAGCTTTATTCCTTATAATTTAATTTCAATGTAGACAATGAGACAATTTTTCCATTTTTTCCTTCGGAAAAAGTCTTCAAATATCGCATATTTTAAAAGTTAACGTCAAGCGGAGTAATCCGTTTGTTGACGTAACTCATTGTGACGTAGGCAAGTTATGTTATACAAAATGGATAAAATCGTTTATCCAATCAATTGACGTGTTACTACTAAAATTAAATTATTTAAGGAATGACTCTAATTCTTGGCCAGATTATCGAGTATAATATGGTTTGGGTCACTTTACGCTTTATAGTATTTAAAGTAAAATTCTCATTATTGGATTTTATGAAATTGTGATAAAACCACTGAAAAAATTCTCGGAAAAAAGATTCTTTTATTAAAAAATTACATTTGGTATTCGAACCTTAATGCCATTAAAATCTGAAGTATCATATTGCTTTGAGACTAACACGCCAATACTCTTCAAGTATTTTTCGGAAAGATGCGAATATTTTGTCATAAAAGTATGTTTTTATTAAAAGTATAGAGAGCCTTTGACCCATGTTTTTTTTTCCAAAAAAAAAAAAAAAAAAAAAAAAAAAAAAAAAATGTGCATTTTTTTCGATTAAACTTAATTTTAGGAATACATGTACTTGAGGAATGAAGTTTATTTCAACTAATGTTATCCGATATAACATAACTTGGGCAGTTTATGCTTTATAAACCGCTTCGCGGTTTATAAAAAAGCGTAAACTGCCCCAAGTTATGTTATATCGGATAACATAAGTTGAAATAAGCTTTATTCCTTATAATTTAATTTCAATGTAGACAATGAGACAATTTTTCCATTTTTTCCTTCGGAAAAAGTCTTCAAATATCGCATATTTTAAAAGTTAACGTCAAGCGGAGTAATCCGTTTGTTGACGTAACTCATTGTGACGTAGGCAAGTTATGTTATACAAAATGGATAAAATCGTTTATCCAATCAATTGACGTGTTACTACTAAAATTAAATTATTTAAGGAATGACTCTAATTCTTGGCCAGATTATCGAGTATAATATGGTTTGGGTCACTTTACGCTTTATAATCCGCGAAGCGGATTATAAAAAAGCGTAAACTGACCCAAACCATATTATACTCGATAATCTGGCCAAGAATTAGAGTCATTCCTTATAATTTAATTTTAAAATAATTAAACAACTGGGGATGTAAAATTGTGTTGTTTTTATTAGTTCAAATTTACCGCGCAATAATACAACCGTAGTAACGGAAGTGATGGGAAGCAAGGGGAGGTAAAAACTGATACATAGATCTAGCAGCCATGATGCTTGTTTACATGAGGTAAGATCGAGCAACTGTTTGAAGTTAAAGGTACATTCATTAAATCTGGAATTTTT